GTACTATACATAACAACAATAACAATAATAATAATAATAAAAAAGGCTTTTAGCGTCTTTCCAGAGTTCAAGAACTTTGTTTTATACATTTTATAAACCTATTTATTTGTTATAAATTGTAAATTGTACTCACCTCAGAAAAACAAATTCTTCTATCAGACACAATTGAAGTAAAAGTGCCTCAGATAAACGCGCTGTCCTGATTCAAGCGGATGAGATGGTATAACCAGGTCTGTGTCATTATTTCAACGTTATCTTCATAACTCGTTACGAAATAAAAAGTTTCACAACTCAGAAAAATTAATTTTCCTTTCTTGTCAACATTATACAGTGCGCGTGGTGTGTCAGTTGTGGAGGCGCGCTGTACGTCACGTCACTATATTAAAAGCAATCGTCCATATTCTGACTTGGTGAAAATAAACATTTTATCTTAAAAGAACTTTCAATCTTGTGTCTGAAGTTTAATTATACTTTTAAATAGCAAATTCTGGAAATCAGAGAGCATATAAAGAGCGTGTATATGATGGTAATGAAATTACGAGCATACGACTTTGCAGTTACGTTGCCAGTAAATCATGAAATTACCAATATATTACGAATAGAGTATGTATCTGGAACGTTCTTGGTTATCTTGTTACGTTAGGAGGACGTATTGACGACGTTGTGAGTTGGTAATGGGATGGTAAGGGAATTACGTTCATATGACGTCGTGGTTACGTTGTCTATTGGTAAGTCATGAAATTACCAAAAAGTAGAATGCATTACGTAACTGTTACGTCGTGTGTTAGCGGGGTTCCTAAGAAAATCACAATAGCCATCTTTCTTTTGTGTGAAAAGCAACACTGTCACCCCATACTTCCACATGCAAAACAAACAAAAATCTTTCCTGCCTTTCTCCAAACAATGTCTTTCTATGTGACCATCCTTTCCACATGCATGACAGACAAAGCTTTGATGAGGTCTGTCATTGTCTCTGATGGAAACCATAGTTAATCTTGAACATTCTCTCCTGCCAAAGGCAGCAGCTGGATGTCTGGTTTCTGCAGCTTTCATTTGCATTTAAATAGTGTGTCATTTTAGAAATGATTGGCTCCTGTGGTGTATTTACATCTACATGCAGAGCAATGGCTTCCCGCATTTGTGGATTACTCTGTGCAATTAATGCAGACTTAAACATGAGGTTTTGTTTAGTTGCATTTAGCACACCACTCTGTAACAGCTAATCATTTCCCACAACCTGGATGCAAATGCCAAAGAATGCTCTTCAGGATCAATTGTCACCTCAGTTATCTTTTTCAACTTATCCACATCAGTCTCAACAACTCTAAGCAGAGCTTCTCTCCCTGCACCTCTGTCTGCTCTTTTGTCTCATTTCCTGTGAGAGAGCACTAGTTGATGAACGAGGAATGCAGATCATAAGAAGTCTACAAGCATCTGCGTCTGATACACTGGGTCAGGGCACACTATAGTTTCTTACAGAACTGTATTCTGTTAGATCGGGTCTCCACGCCAGATAATAATTAGGATCCAGCCCCGGATGCCAGATCCCGTCAGAAAATATCAGTTTGTCCAGTAACAGAACAACTAGTCAGCAGCGCTGTTAATACCCAAACCCTGTTAACAGCAAGTCTTGTCTGGTATCCAAAAAGACCCAAAATGAGTGTTTAACAGTCTTCTGTCAGTCAAGAAGTTGACTGAGAAAAGGCAGAGAAGAGCAGAAGCAGGAGACGAAGTGATGATGGTTAAAAGTACCATCATTGTTTATTGAACAATCTTAGTTGTGTATGCCTCAATGTTCAAACTTTTTCTGACCAGCACAAATTCAACAGGTACTGTTATACCAAAACTGCTTCACAGCAACATCCCATAAACCTTGGGTTTCCATATACATTCCCTCTTATCTATCTCTATTCATACAGACAAAACGGTTCATGAAACCCCACAAGCAAGATTGAACAACAATGAAAATGCATAAGCTAGGGGAAATTAATAAGATATATAAAATATGAAATATAGAAACATAATAAATGAATAAACAATAAAATACTTAATATAATGATAAATTATAAAAAATAATCAAATAATAAATCACATGAATGACTAAAGATTATAAAATTAATATGTGAATAAATGATTATAAATGAAAAAAAAAAAAACATGAAAATAAAAACACAAAACACACAGTTTGCACGTGAGGATCTAAGGATCCTTAAATTCCAAAAAAGTATTTAACATGCATCATCAGAAGTTGTTAAGCTTAGAATATAATTGTTCATCTTGAACAACAATTTATAAATTGTGTTGTTACCAGAGGAAGCGTTGATGATAGTCCAAATAAATGAGCCAACAGCTCAAGTATTTTTCATATGATGCATTTTATGAAACATTTTTGCTATTCTACAAACTTATCATAATTAAAATGTTTAGACTACATTTTAAGTCATCTAGGATTTCTTTGGTTAGTAATCATACCTATATCCTACTTTATAATGATGGTCATCGCAGGCATAATCCATCACATACAGTATATGATGATGATGATGATAATATTATTAATAATAATAATAATAATAATAAACTTATTTATTCAGAGGAAGTTAACCAATATGTAGGCTATTGTACATGCACTTTTTGTACATGTACATTTGTAAAGAAGAAAAACATTGTTTAGAAATTATGATTGACCCTAGTAACGAGGGTCTTATTGTTCTTAGTTTCTAAGCTTTACAGCAAGTTTTAAGGAAATGATGAGCACGTTTTCTGCTGCCTTCGCCAAATGAGTTTTTTTCCTATTATGCCAATACTATATATTTACCTTTTAGAAAAGTTATCAAGCAACATGCTTTTAAAGGAAAAACAGAACAATGTAAAAAAGCTGTTGGCTCATAACAATACCTCAATACATCAATGGCTGAAATCATTAAATAACTCGAAACAATTTATACAATTTTGTGCTTCGATGAACAGTTACATTCTAAGCTTAAAGGGGTCATATGATGCGATTTTCATTTTTTCCTTTCTCTTTGGAGTGTTACAAGCTCTTGGTGCATAAAGAAGATCTGTAAATTTGCAAAGACTAAAGTCTCAAATCCAAAGAGATATTCTTTATAAAAGTTAAGAGTCAGCCACACCTACCTAAAACGGCTCGTTCGAACACGCCCCCACATATCTACCTCATAATGTGTTTTTTTAACTTTAAACCGCATAAACACATTTCATTACACCAAATACACAAAATAATGTTCTTTTTAGCAGCATCATATGACCCCTTTAACTTTGTGCAGGCTGAGTTATTAAAACAATGTTCTAAATGGTCCGATTTTGTATATTTTAAGCGTATACATTGTTTGAATATTCCCTGACGGTGTGATCTCTATATAGTATAGGTGATTGTTGTTGTATTTCTTATAAAACAAACAAACAAACAAAAATCTTCATTAAACTAAAAATGAATGAAGTGAGGATTGTGCTGTCCACCTTTATCGCGCTATGCTCACTTGTGGCCTGTGTCTGATAAGCTACAAGTGAGATCTGTCCACCTTGGCTGCGCTTAATTCACTCCTCTGCAGATGCCTACTCTCGGACTTTTTAAATGAGACTTTTGATACTGGCTGAGATTTCTCATTCTGTCCTTTTCTTAAGTCCCGCCCCTTTGAAACTTCTAGTTTGAAGCGTGTGAAGCATGTGTCGCATGTGGTGGCTTTTCCTGTTTGTGAAGACCAGCTATAACACACGCCAATAGCACTTGAGAGCAGCCTGCAAAGGAACATCTCATTGGTTTTACTTACTGAACGAGTATGTGTAATAGGTGTAATATTCATTATGAAGACAAGAAAATAGTTGGTTGCATGAATTCACAAATTTATGTATAGAGAAAGAGGATAAAATATTAATCAGTATGTGTTGAACGATGTTCATGTTCAAGATAAATCAATGATGTTACAATCCAGAAATATTTCTCTACTCACAATTTTTGATATGTATAGAAAAATATTTCCACTGCATTTTTCTGTTGTGTGTTTTTGTTTGGCTTATGATTGTCTGTTAATTTCTTCTTCAGATGCATCTGGTGTTGGTTCAGACGGAGTATCAGCATCTGTGATGGAGGGAGATTCAGTCACTCTAAACACAGATGTTAAAACAAGCCAACAAGAAGAGGTTGTATGGTATTTTAATGACACTCGCATTGCTGTAATCACTGGAGATCTCAGTTATACCTGTACAGATGTTCAGTGTAATGAAGGTACTGAGAGATTCAGAGACCGACTGAAGCTGGATCATCAGACTGGATCTCTGACCATCAGAGACATCAGAACCACAGACTCTGGACTTTATAGACTAGTGATAATCAGCAGCAGCAGCAGCAATTCAAAGATCTCCAGAGTTGCTGTTCACGGTGAGTCATTTAATAAATGTTAAAAGGGAGATTATACATGTTTTAAGTACATCATTTATGTGTTTTTCCACTTACCTGTATATTCACATAAATTATATAGATAATTTCTTTAAAACACATTTATTGTTAATTTGGATTTTGTAGATTTATTTGTGGATTGATTGAGTTGTTAGTTTTAACAGTTAGTTGTGCTCTGAAACAATGACAGTCTCTCATCAAATAATATCTGATCAGCTTCTCTTAGTTGAGTATTTAATGTAAAATCAGTATGTAAAATGTGTTTTGTAAGTATAAAACTTGGATAAATGTTGTTTGTCAGATTCAAAGTCAAGAAAGGTTTGTGCAATTGCATTCATGTTTAAAGTTCTCTCAGGTTATGCAGGTTTTTTTCATCAGCAGCTGTTGGTTTGTGTTTCAGGTGTTCCTGCTGCTCAACGAGATAAAAAGAAGACCAAGTCTGTAGTGGAGGGGCAATCTGTCAGTTTAGATCCTGGTCTAACCAAAAACCTAAATGTTGTGATGAGATGGTATTTTAATGACACTTTCATCGCTGAAATCACTGGAGATCAAAGTAAGATCTGTACAGATGATCAGTGTGAAGAGAGATTCAGAGACAGACTGAAGCTGGATCATCAGACTGGATCTCTGACCATCACAAACACTAGAACCACAGACTCTGGACTCTATAAACTACAGATCACCAGCAGCAGTAGCAGCAGCACCCGTCGTCGTCGCCACAGCATCGGTGTCACCAGTTTAAAGAGCTTCAGCATTTCTATCACTGGTGAGCATAATTCTGTGCATTTCAGTGCATTTTAAAATACATTTCAGTGTTTTATATCAATCCAAGTGAGCTTTGACCCAATAGCAGCTTTTCCACTGTCGGGCAAGTGTGAGCCAGGGCTAACAATGAGCCAGGTGGGGCCAATAGCCTCGGACCTTGAGCTGGGAGGTCAAAATCAAGCTGCATTTCCACTGACAGGACAGCGCTACTCTAAAAACCTGCCCTTAACACGCCTTCCAGAAGCAAACATCACACAACCCCACCATTTCACCAGCCAGGGGAAATGAATGAAAACTAACTTTAAAAACTTGACAGAAGCGGGTGTTTGGTCCTTACATAAATACTTAAAAGAAAGACTTCAGCATGAATATTTTATCGTACTATATCATACTAGCACGATCCAAAGATGTCAAATGTTTCAAAATAAAGGTAATTTTAAGAAGCAAAGTCCAAATGCATAACAGTGTGTACTCAAACACAAACAGCGACCGACAATGAACTGAGGAAACCAACAAGGAACTTAAGTATATGCAGATAACAAACTAAACGAACAGGTGTGATAATCAAATGAATTGCCATAGTAATCTAATGGAATGAAAACTAAACTGACAGTTCGTGACAGGACCATGGAATTAAGTGGGTGGAAAATCTCTGGCCTTTGGCCCTGAGGAAGCCCTGACGAGAGACAATCAAGCCCTGGAAGTGACAGTGGAAATGCAACTGGCCTGCTAGAAACGCAGATTATGTTGTAATATATAATAAGTAATATCTATGACCTGCACAATTTGTTCTCAGTTTTGTCTGTGTATCGACCACATTTGTGATTGGATGTAAAACTTCCTGCTTCAAATGCAGTCAATACATTTATAATATGATTTACCGAAATTAATGCAAATGCCCAAGATTTTCAAGATATGATTTAAAAAAGTATTTTTATGAGATAAAAAAAAAAAATATATATATATATATATATATATAATAACATATGATATAATTAATCACTGTCACAAGAGCAAGAAAACTGTTTTTCACAAATATGAGCACAATTGCAAACTTGTTAATTTTATATAAATATTTAATAAAAAAAGAAGCTACATTTGAATAGTGCTGGTCTTGGTCTCGACTCATTCTCACCACACTCGTCTTGGTTTTGACTTGGTCTCGATTTAGGTCATCTTGACTACAACCCTACTCTCTAGTAATATAATGACTGTCTTTCTTTAGCTGTTCCAGATTCAGGATTGTCTCCAGCTGCTGTAGGAGGAATATGTGGTGTTCTGCTGCTCGTTGTATGTGCAGTTGCTTGTGGTCTTGCAAAAAGGAAAGGTGAGAATTAAAGCTGATTTAACAAGACACAAATATGAAATGGAAGTGTGAAGAGAATTGTTAAAATGTGGAAATATGCATATGCATATTCTAATGAAACAAAATAATGTATGTTTAATTCGAGCTTGCTTTTTTTTTTTTTTTTTTCAAACAGGCATCTGTATGCAGCAAAATAATCAGGTGAAACATCAAAAATATTTTCACTACTTACAAAGTAGCATTCTCTGGTCTCTCGTGTTTTTGTGTTAGTGTAACTAAAGCATTAATCCTGTAAAATTTTTTTTTGGGTGAAAATCTGTCTTCTTCCAGGAGAATAATGGGCTCTAAATCAAGAACACAACAAATGGGACGTTGCCTAGTCTGACGAGGCTGCCAAAGATACTTCACTGCTGTTTATTTGGGAGGCCAAGTATCAATATCTTCATTACCATAAGCTTTACCATGATTTACAATAAGCTTTGTATTTACAAATTGGACGTTATATGTTTATATATCAGTGCTTCCACATTTCTCTCTCTCACACACATGAATTAAGCTGCTTGTACAGGAATCAAGTTCTTGCACATTTCTGAACTTGAACCGCTCTCTCTGTGTTTACGTGTTAATTACATGTGTTAATTCGCCAGCTGCGATGAAGCAAACCTTCCGCTCATGATTAGAATCTAAGAAGCTGTCTACATGGTGCCAAGCAAGCTCGTTTCATAATACATTTGACAATACAAGTTGACAAGTAGTTATATTATTACATGCGGTCGGTAACACTGGTTATACTCCTCAAAATTAGGTTATTTTGTGTTATTTGCTATTTAAGAGCGAAAATAACTCCTCAGTGCCACTAAGTGTCCAAGTTCTATTCCGTTAATGACATATATATGCATTTTTCCTATAACAGTAAAAATATGATTCAGCACACAACATTTCAAAACTGAATAGTGTTAGCTTTATTTGATTTTATTATAGTATTTGCAAGACTGTTCTCTGTAAAACATTCCAAAACCAAACAAAAACTCAACACAGTGTGCCAACTTCTGACCAATATCACTACAGTGAAGTGAAACACTGTCTGCCAGACTAGAAGCTGTAGTCTCAACCTTACTACACAATGACCAGACTGGATTTATTAAAGGGAGACATCCTTCAGAAAATACCATGCTTGAAAACAATAGCAGGGTGCAATAGCAATTTGACAGGGTGGAGTGTTCATTTCTCTTCTCCATACTTAATCATTTTGGATATAATATACATTTCACCAACTAGATCCAAATAATCTATAAATCCCCTGTAACCAAAAGAATCATCTCAAAGCCATAACCTTTCAAAAGAGGTGCTCGTCAACGATGCCTATTGTCTTCTCTATGACTTGCAGTCTTTATCGAACCACTAGCAGCATTAATTAGGAAGTCCACATAGTATTTCTTGAATTCAATCAGATTCATACCACCATAAATTAAGCTTATATGCAGATACTTTTATATATTACATACAAACCCATCGTCTTCCCTCCCAACAGTACACAATCTCATTAACTATTTTAGCTGGATGTCTGGCTACTTTATTCCAAGATCCTGCCTATCACTGTTTACCTCACTTAGAAGAAAACTGCCTTGACAGAACAAACTGCAAACAAACTACTCCAATAGTGCAATTATAACATTTTATTTGAAGAACAAGAAGCCGTGTATAAAACTATCCACCTTACAGAAGCCAAAACAATAGGAGTTAGAACTCATACATTTTTACTCCTAATCAAACATAATCCTATGTTTTATAATTAATGAACCAGAGAGTCAAAACTAATTACACACTAATGGCCTGGTTATAAAACATTTATCGCCATATAATCAGCATATTATATTGCAAAATGTTTAGAATCACAAAATGTTTAGAATAATATTGTTTCATTGCTTAGGAATTGTGATAATATGTCGAATAATATGTCATATAAATGTTTAAATAAAACATGAGCCCCAATTACGTAAACACTGCTTCAAAGAAACACAAATAAACTGTATATCAGTAATAAAATGAGGAACAAACCAACACATTAACAGAACAATAAGTGCTAAACCTTTAGTATAGAATGTTTTATTTCAGCTGCTAAAGTGCAGTCACCAGCAGAGAACACTATATGACCTATTAATGCACTGATCTGATTATATTCTCTTGCCTGTTTACTTGAATACCTCACCAAGATGGGCATTTTCAGACAGTGTCATGCTGTGAAACATGAGCATTCTATGTAGAGAATGTGCACAAATATGCAAATGAGTTTAAGGCAGCTGTCAAACAATATTCACGCACTACTGATATTGTTGATGATGTTACGGTTTTGTTGCCATTACCAGAAAAAGCCTACATTATTATTATTGCATTATGTTCCCTACATGATTCCATTCCAGTGGTCTATTGCATGAAAAGAAGGGCTATTTAGGTTTACCTGGAGGAAATTAATTCATTTATTTTAATAGATGGACATTCCTGAATGTTATGTGTGGTTATTTTTTTATTTTTTTTCTGAGCTTACTCAGGTATGCTTGTCTGTGAAAAACTTGTCTGTGTGGAAATTGTGCTTCAACATGATTTTCAACATGTTGAAGCACAATTTCCACACAGTAGTGTATATATATATATATATATATATATATATATTCT